AACACCGTATGGGTTGAGAGTAACTTGGCTGGTTATAGCTGAGCTGCTGTTGGTAGACGGTAGCTGGTGGGGGTGCCGCAGGTCGGTAATCCGTGCGGGTAGCTTCCTTGACCACAGGGGTGTCTTGCTTGCGGGCATCGGTGTACTCGTCCACCAACCGAGCTGCTTCAGGTAGGGTGAGGGGTCTCCTGTCACGGATCCATTCTCTTCTCGTAGAAGTGTTCAAGCAGGAACAAATGCAGCACCTCTTCACCGGATACTGCCTTGCATCCATTGACCCAGTGGGATGCCGTGCGATGTAGGCGGCATGCCCACTCTGTGTAAGAGTCCCCACTTTGCTTGGCAGTGTACCCGGCGATTTCTCCATCCTCTTCTACAAAGTTTTTAAATGCTGCAAAATGTACCTTCCTTTTCTCCACTGGCACTGCTGTTACCTCTGCTGCTGCACACCTCTTTGCTGAGTCTGGAGCTGGTTAGCATCCATGGCCGCCATGACTTGCGTTATAATCTCCATTGGAGGATTCAGTCCATAGTGTGTCAATCTTATTGCAACAGCCCGATCAAAACTTGCCTCTTCGGGTGTCCTGTCTGATTCGAAGATCCATTTGGCTCTATTCATCTCTACCAGTTCGACAAGTTTGTACATTAACCAGTCAGAGACATATACAGTGATAAACACTCCCACACGAACATTACAAACCCTCCTCTCTATCCTGGAGATAATTGGGTTAAGTGCTAGAAGCAACTCAATTACCTCCAGGGATAGAGCATATCCTCCATTTTACAAGAACAGTAAAACACAATAAAAATATGTATTCCCAAAACTAACGAACAGAATCCCCACATTCAACGTTTCCCCAGATAGCTTAGATCTGAGCGCACAATATAACAGAATAGCGCTCAGATCCCATACACACAGCTCAATCGCCATGGAGCTAAAGTCTTGTACAAAGTGCGTGTGTCTAAATGAATGGGCTCCATGGGGTGGCTATCTGGGGCAGCTCTGTTCGTATATAGTCAATGTACCAAATGGCACGGCGTTCGTATGAACCTAGAACGGAACGAGGAAGGGTCAGCGACTTCAGCGGTGTTCGTGGGAAATAGTGTCCGATTTTAGTTCCACGGGTTTGTCGATGAATACCGCTGGGCGTTCGACTGTCCAAGATGGCCGCCGCCACGTGTTCGTTCATACGAACGACGACCACCCAGCCGACCATTCGGGAGCTGGAAGTGTCTGCTGTTAACCACAATGTTAATGAGGGCAGAAAAGTTAACGAGCACCACACTTCCCTGCTGGGTGACCTGCCATTCGGTAGATCTTTCGTATGTAAGGGAATGAAACATAGGGCCGTACGGACAAGTGGCAAATACCGAACAAACAGATGAATCCAAGGCAAATAATAGTAATCCAAAGACAGAGAGGTCTGTCACAACGCCCTATCACGGATTCAGTACATCACACATTGTGTAATAGCCCGCCGTATCACGGATTCAGCACATCACACACAGTGTGTAATAACACGCCATGTCACGGATTCAGTACATCACAGACAGTGTAATAACATGCCGTATCTTGAATTCAGTACATCACACACAGTGTGTAATAACATGCCGTATCTTGAATTCAGTACATCACACACAGTGTGTAATAACATGCCGTATCTTGAATTCCGTACATCACACACAGTGTGTAATAACATGTATCACGGATTCAGTACATGACACACAGTCTGTAATAACGTATCACGGATTCAGTACATGACACACAGTCTGTAATAACACGCTGTATCACGGATTCAGTATATCACACACAGTCTGTAATAACATGCCGTATCACGGATTCTATTTTTCTTTGAATATCCCAATATTTAATAAATTCCTGTTTTGAATGCACATTGTGACGGACCGCCTGGCACCCTGACCGCGTGCCTCCGCCAATCGATGCTCCTACTGTTCACCGAGGACTCCAAGCACTCCACCAGACACCATCGGCACCTTAGACCTCACAAACCGCCGCAGCTTGGTTGGGGTCTCGCCGTCCTCCACCCACCCACCCGGACCCAAGACCAGGATCCAGCTTCCAGTGATGAACTTCTCCTACTCCAAATAGTATAGCACAGGGGTTCTCAACCCAGTCCTCAGGACCCCCTACCAATTCAGGATTTGGGGATTACCTGGGTGTGTCTAAGGTGTTTAGAAAAAGGGAAGAAAAAAAAAACCTTAGACTCTAAGGTGTTTTTTTTTCTTTTTCTAAACACCTTAGACACACCCAGGTAATCCTTAAACCCTGGACTGGTAGGGGGTCCTTGAGGGCAAGGTTGAGAACCCCTGGTATAGCAGGAACAGCTCTTATAAGAGTTAGTGATTAGAATCCAAGGGACTATAATGAGTATAGCAATCCCCAGAATGAATATAGCTGTCCCCTCCACACACGAGACAAAGCTCTATGTTGAGGGTGAAGAGGAACGGCTTTTAATGGTAGCCAAAAAGAGTTCCAGGCACTGGACAACCAAGTACCGCTGCCCAGGTGTGAGAGACAAGATGGACGTCATTCTTTTGTTGACTATGTGCGTTCGGTTAAACAAAATGGTGGCCACCCAGAGGTAGAATTAATAATTACTTCCCTTGTGGTTTCACATTTAAGTTGCTGGTATGAACGTTCTAATGGGGTAAAGGGGTGGTCCTCATTAGGGAGACTAATGGATATTGCTCGTATGAAGTACTCCCAAATGGAAAAAGGATAAAACATATGAAATAAAGGGGAAAACATACGAATAGGTGGTAAGTTCTGCCACAAGACTCTTACACGCACGGGTGAAATCTCCTGTTTTTTTTGTTTCTCCTCAGTGCTGTGGGGGTTAATTCTCCTGCAGCACGGAGTCTATTAAACAAAAGAATTGAAACGAAAAGGTAATGCATTTAGCATTTGTTTTGTGTATAATTTGTATGTAGGACTTTCATTTCTTATAATAAACGAACACTAGGGATGTGTATGGGCAAAAAATTTGTTTTGGTTCAGAAATTCAGGTAAGTAAAAAAAAATTGGTCTGCTTCGGCAATTCGGTTCCAGCTCGGCCCTTCGGAATTGCTGAATGGCATTCGGGCATGCGGCATTCAGGCATGTCATTTGTTTCAGGCATTCGGCAGTGCGGTGTAGCGGATGGCCCTGGGCTGTCCTGAGAATTTCATGTATTGTTATGCATTCGTGTGAAAACAGCAAAGTTTTATGTATTTGATGTATTGTATTCGTCTGAATGTTAGGTAGTTTCATTCCCTTCGTTTATTCGAATGAAACTACCGAACAGTCAGACCTCCCCTGTGTGAAGTGTGTCCTCAATTACCCGTTGCAACATTGTTGCGAACGGGTAATTGACAAGTTAAGTAGCCGTCCTTTGTTCTCGGGGGTGGCCGCCATTCGAAAAACGAACACGTGGCGGCGGCCATTTTAAAACTCCCGAACAGCGGTGTTTTGCCGTCGAGTGTCTGGAACTCAAATCGGACACTCGACTAGGCGAACACCGCTGAAACCTCCACAAGCCCGGTCCGTTCGGTTCCTAACTACCGAACGGCCCCTCGTTCGGTAGATAGAAAGAACCGAACGAGGGGATTCAGGCAAACCCTCCCTAGCCTCTATAGCTAGAGGTTTTCGTGCCATTTATTCCCTGACTCCAGGACCAGGGAATAAATGGACTCGGCTGTTTCACTCAGTGCGGCCGGTCATTTTATTCCCTCCATAAATTTCCCGAACCCCTGGTCTGATCTGGGTGATTTTTGGATATGTTGTTCACCCAGATCAGGGCTACCAGGGGATGTATGATTTAAGGGGGTACCCCTACGTTTAGGGGTACATCCAGAAACGGGGGGAATTGGTGTACTGGATAAGGGGATTATGATGCTGGCTGAGGGGAGGAGATGTGTGGGAGGTTACCAGGACAGGATTGGCTACTGTACTAATGATTGTAAATCCCTCCCTTGCATGGGAGCATGCTTTATAAGGCCAGTGTGGAATAAATCTTTAGTTCTGCTCCTGAAACTGTGTGTCGTCCAGTTATTGGGATTGCTGTTGGGATATTGCTGTATTTTACCTGCTGGAAGCCTTGCCTGTGGATTTACTATTTACTTGTTCCTGAGCCTCACTTGGATTATAAGCGGAGATATCCTGGGGAATATTGCATCTCCGCTACATGCGGAATGTTGTTCGTTTCGAAAAAATAAACATTTGTGTGTTTTTTTTCTTAAACAGCAATGTTTTACATTGCATAGTGGACCACATTAGTTAATAATTAGTAGTGTAAGTTTAGTATATATACAATTTACAAAATGATATTTTCACTGCAAAGATAGTGCAGCCAATCAGGGAGCATTACCAGCATGCAACACTTCTGCACACTATATAATCCCACCCTCGTGCCACCATCTTTGTGGAGAGTTTAGGAGCAGAGAGAAAGCAATTTGTGTGTGTGAGAGGGGTGTGTGTGAGAGGGGGGAGAATGTGAGGAGGACATTATCCATTATGGTTTCTTTTGTTTTAATACATTTTTATTTAAATCACAGAAAATTTAAAAAACACAAAATTAATCACTGTAGCAAAGTCACAGTGCAGCAGAGAGACACCATGGCAATCAGGCTACCTGGCTTGCCCAGCCACAGACTCTCTTACCTCCCCCTTCAAAAAAAAGAAACAAAATGCAGAAGTAAAAAAAGACAAAACTCACTCTCTCTCTCCCTGGACCACAAACTTAAAAGCAATGTGGCTCCCCAAGTTTGCAACAAGTAAAGTACAATAAACGTAATGCGCTTCTCCTTTCCTCTTGCCCCACCACTTGTCCGCTTGATCCTGTCCCATCTCACCTTATCAGATCTCTCTCCCCTTGTCTTGTGCCTTCCCCAATGCACATCTTAAACTGCTCTCTCTGTTCTGGCGTTGTCCTTGCTGACCTTAAACATGCCACTGTAGTACCTTTCCTGAAAAAAACATCTCTTGACCCGTCCTCCCCGTCTAACTATCGTCCTAGATCCCTGCTCCCTTTTTCCTCAAAGCTTCTGGAAAGACTTGTCTTTACCCGTCTGACTCATTTCCTCAATTCCAACTCTCTCCTTGACCCTCTTCAATCTGGCTTCTGCCCTCTCCACTCTACAGAGACTGCCCTTATGAAAGTTACTAACGACCTAATCGCAGCTAAATCCAAAGGCCACTACTCCATACTAATTCTTCTTGAACTCTCTGCTGCCTTTGACACCGTTGATCATGCTCTCCTTCTTCAAACCCTTCATTCACTGAGTCTCTGTGACTCTGTCCTCTCATGGTTTTCCTCTTATCTCTCCCAACGCTCATTCAGTGTCTCCTTTTCTAATGATACCTCCTCCCCTCATCCTGTGTCGTTTGGAGTCCCCCAAGGCTCTGTCCTTGGTCCCTGTGACGAGAGCAATCTCGCCACATTGCATTGGAGAAGCCTGGTTGCTCGCCTGTTGCCTCTGGACCATGGCCCCATGGTAAAACTTGAATTTTCCCCTGCAGAAAGGCTTGTTCGTGCCTTTCTGCCAGGGTGTTCGGTAAATTCTATGTACCGAACAAATGCACGAATGACTGGACCACCTGGGAGCTGGAGTGTGTCGGCGATTTACCTCCCAGAAGCTGCGGTTAACCGCAACTTAATTGACAATCACTGGGTGGCCGCGGTTACACCTAGCCGCCACACGATGGAGGAGTTATGGAAGCTTCCCGGGTAGCGCACTTTGGCTTCCAAGCCCCACTGAGGCTGGAGGTCTGCAAACCCGCTCGGGAACCAAACAACAGCGCATTCGGGACTTTTAGTGTTGCGATGTATTCGGTGTAAAAGTACCCAGATAGCCTGCCGTGGAGCCTGTTCGTGGAATTAAAGACTTTGGCTCCATGGCGATTAAACTGTATTCGTGTGGTCTGAGCGCCATTCACTTAATAATGTGCGCTCAGACCTGAGCTATCTGGGGATATGTTAAATGTGTATATTTATTGTAACCTTTCTAACATAGGGTATTTTAACAGTAATTCCTATATTGGTATCCCCACATGCATAATGGCGATTTGCCTTTGTCCTGGGAGATGATTGAATTACTTCTCAATTATCTCCAGGGCAGAGGGGAGGAAGCCAGGATGCATTGTGGGAATATAATGTGACTGTGTGTCCTAGATTGATGCTTGTCTGTCCTTGGTTACAGTCTGTAACGGACCGTTTTGCCCACAAGCGGTTAAAAACCATTTAGGTGATATTCCCCTTTCTCAGCTACACAGACAGCTACTGCAAGCACCAATCTCCCGAACTGCAAACCCACGAATTCACCAACTCCCGAACTGCAACCAAGGGAATACTCGAAACTCCCGAACTGGAGACCCACGAATAGCTGCTAGCAGACGAACAGGAAAAGCCCCCAAGCGGCTTACACTCCTGGCAATCAGTCTCTAACAGCATACAGTAAATCCCCCCAAAGACGAGACGACACTTCGTTTTGAGGGTCAAGCAGGATCTGGTTTACTGGGGCTAACTGCCTGGCTTTTATGCAGGTCTCCCACCTGGTGGACACTCCCCTAGGGGACCAGATGGGAGACTGGGACACAAAGGGTACAAGAACCAATCACAGACTTACACATTTCAACCATCCCACAATGCATCACAATCCCTCCTCTCTGTCCTGGAGATAATTGGGAAGTAATCCAATTATCTCCAAGGACAGAGGCAAAAACTCCATTAACCACATGGTAGTAAAAAGACAGTAAAAGACATAAAATTACATACAGTCATATTTATTACCTAAAACATAGACATTCTACATATCCCCAGACAGCTTAGATCTGAGCGCACATTACTACTGAATGGCGCTCAGATCACATACATACATTTCAATCGCCATGGAGCCAAAGTCTTTCACATAGTCTTTCGTTACACGAACAGGCTCCATGGTTTACCTATCTGGGGTGATGCTGTTTACCCGGTTAAATTACCGAATGAACAGTCCTTCGGTTCCGCTACCAAATGAGAAGGTAAGTAGGCTGGCGGCTCAGCAGTGTTCGCGCCAATAAGTGTCCGTTTTCAGTTCCATAGTTTGGGCGCTGAACACCGCTGGCCGTTCGGGAGGTAAAATGGCCGCTGCCACGTTTTCGGCAACCGAACAAAGGCCACCCAGCGTTCATCAATTAAGCTGCGGTTAACCGCAGTTTCTGGGCGGTCAATTGACGGCACACTCCAGTTCCCAGGTGGTCCATCGTTCGGTAGTTTGTTCGGTAGATGTAATCTACCGAACACCCTGCCAGAAAGGCACGAATAAACCTTTCAGCAGGGAAAATAACAGGTCTGAACTGCAGGGCCATAGTCTAAAGGGAGCAGGCGAGCAACCAGGCTTCTCCAGTGCATAGTGGCGAGGTTGGTTCCGCCACACAGTCTCCCATTTGGTCCCCTAGGGGAGTGTCCACCAGGTGGGAGACCTGCATAAATACTGGGCAGGTAGCCCTCATTAAACAGACCACTGCTTGACCCTCAACACGGAGCCTTGTCTCGTTTTTGGGGGGATTTACTGTATGCTGATAGAGACTGATTGCTAGGAGTATAAGCCGCTTGGGTGCTTTTCCTATTCGTCTGCTAGCAGCTATTTGTGAGGTTCCAGTTCGTGAGTTTGGAGTGCTATATTTTATGCAGTTCGGGAGTTTAGGGCATTCCCTTACATGCGGTTCGGCGGATTGGTGTTCTACAGTAGCTGTGCCTGTATCTCTGGAAGGAGAAGATCTTCTAAACGGCGGTTTAACCCTTTTATGCCTGGGGGTGCTGTTACAGTCCCCTTCTTTTTTCTCTTTATACTGCCTCTCTTGGCAAACTTATCACCTCATTTGGATTCCACTACCAACTGTACACTGATATATCTCTCCTCTCCGGACCTATCTCCTGCCGTCCTGCAACGTGTCGCTGCTTGCCTTTCTTCCATCTCTGATTGGATGTCCTCCTGCTTTCTGAAACTAAATCTCTCTAAAACTGAGCTCCTTGTCTTTCCTCTTCCTAATACTGATCCCCCTCTTTCGCTCTCCTTTCAAGTTAGTGGTATCCACACTGGTAAGTCCATCCTTGCAAGCGCGCTGTCTTGGCTTCATACTTGATTCTGGCCTCACCTTTAAGCTTCACATCCAGTATGTTGCCAAATCCTGTAGATTCAAACTTAAACAAAGCCCACATCCGCCCCTTTCTTACGCAAGATGCTACCAAGGAGCTTGACCATGCTCTAGTAATTTCCTGCATGGATTATTGTAACCCTCTCCTGATTGTTCTTCCCAAAAGCCGTATTGCCCCGCTACAGTCTGCAATGAATGCTGCCGTCAGACTGATTTTTCTCTCTAGTCGGTTCTCTCACACCTCACCCCTCTGTCAGTCCTTACATTGGCTTCCTGTAACCTATAGGAGTCAATTCAAGGTACTTATTCACACCTACAAAGTACTGACCAATTCTAGCCCCTCTTATATCTCATCGCAGATCCATAGGTATGTCCCTTCTTGGTCTCTCCACTCTTCTCGTGACCTTCTCCTGTCCGTTGTTTGCACCCGTACGGCCAACTCACGCTTGCAGGACTTCTCGCGGGCAGCTCCCTTCCTATGGAATAGCCTGCCTATCGCCATCAGTCTCCCCTAGTCTTCAATCCTTTAAGAAGTGCATTAAAACCCATATCTTTAGGAAACCTTATGCCCTCCCAGAGTAACCTCTACCTTACACACCTGTCTCTTGCTCTCTCCTAAAGGGCAGCACTCTAGTCTCTCCTCCAGCTCTACTTCACTGCCACCTATTTTGATTGCTATTCCCTGTCCTAATGTGTTTTACACCCCACCTCCTATAGACTGTAAGCTCGTTTGAGCAGGGTCCTCCTGCACCTATCATTCCAGTAAGTTTTCTTGTAATTGTCCTATTTATAGTTAAATCCCCCCCTCTCATAATATTGTAAAGCACTACGGAATCTGTTGGCGCTATATAAATGGCAATAATAATAATTTCTCTCTCAGTATCTTGTGCTATCACAACTAGTCTGTTCACATGAATGCAAGCCAACACCCTACCTTGACAGCCTGATTTATATACTACACTACCTCAATGACTCTGTGTGCCTTCATTGGCCAAGTGTCAGTGACAAAATCACCATTAATTGGCTGCCTCTAACACCAATCACAAAAATGTGCTAATTTCATTGTACAGGGAATAGTGAAACTGGATTGGGCAAGCAAGCATTACATTGCACAAAAGGTTATTGGTCAAGATCCCTGTCATCATTCACGTAATTTTCCCTACCTCTCTCGTTTTGCCACTTTTCAGAAATCTGAATCACTTCGGAGCTTTGGCACTTCCGAACTTCATCACTTTCAGAACCTCGGCACTTTGGACATTCGTAAGCATCCGAATGGCATGAAATTCGCATGAATGTACATTCAGAACAAAACAAATTGCACATGTCTAATAAATACGGAAAATAAGGACGAAATTATATTCATCCGATAACGAATGCACATGTCTAACGTAAAACGAGCACACGAAACCAAATAAATCCAGGTTGCATGTTTTTAACAAATGCCGGCAATGAGTCAGATTTCTAGGCCACGAGTTGTCTCATAATAATGGCCATGGGTACTGCAAACCCCCAGATATGCTGCGCTACTGTGAGTGAGGTGTCACGGAGTTATGATGAAACTGTTAGATTTTTTTGTAAGCTACCCCAAAATGGAATAAAATGGTATCTTTACGTCTTTCACCCTCACACATGAAGCATTATGATAGAGCTCTTTGTCCACTAAACAAGGAATTATTTGGAATTCACCAATTTCCAATGAAAAGGCAGACTGAAAAACGATCCGAGTTGAGTAATCCTTCACATTCACTTGCTTCACATTAATAATTGCGCTTGCTGGTTTAGTGAATAGCCCCCACTACAGATAATGGGCTAGACTTGTGCATCGAATAAAACTTGTAGATAACTTGTGATTGGATGACTCGATACAAGGTACAACAGCAGTTAATGAAAACTAATGTAAATAAGGCACCGGGGCCTAACGGTATTCACCTACGAGTACTTAAGGAGCTAAGTGGGGAAATAAGTGAACCTCTGTATTTAATCTTTCAAGATTCTTTTTTTTCAGGTCTTGTACCAGAGGATTGGAGGAATGCTGTTCCTGTATTTAAAAAGGGTTAAAAATCCTTGCCTGGAAATTATAGACCTTTGAGCTTAACTTCTGTGACTGGGAAAATATTTAAAGGACTATTAAAGGGACACTATAGTCACCTGAACAACTTTAGCTTAATAAAGCAGTTTTGGTGTATAGAACATGCCCCTGCAGCCTCACTGCTCAATCCTCTGCCATTTAGTTAAATCCCTTTGTTTATGAACCCTGGTCACACCTCCTTGCATGTAACTTGCACAGCCTTCCATAAACACTTCATGTAAAGAGAGCCCTATTTAGGCTTTCTTTATTGCAAGTTCTGTTTAATTAAGATTTTCTGATCCCCTGCTATGTTAATAGCTTGCTAGACCCTACAAGAGCCTCCTGTATGTGATTAAAGTTCAATTTAGAGATTGAGATACAATTATTTAAGGTAAATTACATCTGTTTGAAAGTGAAACCAGTTTTTTATTTCATGCAGGCTCTGTCAATCATAGCCAGGGGAGGTGTGGCTAGGGCTGCATAAACAGAAACAAAGTGATTTAACTCCTAAATGACAGTGAATTGAGCAGTGAAATTGCAGGGGAATGATCTATACACTAAAACTGCTTTATTTAGCTAAAGTAACTTAGGTGACTATAGTGTTCCTTTAAGGGATAATATCCAGGAATTCATTGGGAAGAACTTTGCTATCAGCATGGTTTTATGAAACATAGGTCATGTCAAACTAACCTAATTGCATTCTGCGAACAAGTAAGTGGAAGTATAGATCAGGGTGTTGCAGTGGATGTGATCTACTTAGACTTTGCCAAGGCATTTGATACGGTTCCTCACAATAGGTTAGTCTTCAAACTAAAATAAATTGGTCTAGATTAATATTCTTGTTCTTGGGTAGAACATTTGCTTGAGGATAGAGTACAACGAGTTGTCATAATGGTAAATTTTCAAGCAGGACAAAACTGGTAAGGTGTCCATCAGGATTCTGTTTTGGGACCGCTTCTATTTAACATATTTATAAAATAGGCATTGAAAACCATGTTTTAGTGTTAGCAGATGACACAAAGCTTTGTAAAGTAATAATATGTGAGCAGGATATTGCTTTGCTGCAGAGGGATTTAGATAGATTGGGGGACTCGGCCCTAAAATGGCAGATGAAATTTAATGTGGAGAAATGCAAAGTTATTCACTTCGGGGTCAAGAATGCACAAGCAACTTCCACCCTAAATGGTAGTGAATTAGGGATAACCACACACGAGAAGGATTTGGGAATTGTTGTAGATAACAAATTAGGCAGCAATATGCAATGTCAATCTGCAGTTGCTAAGACCAATCAGGTTTTGTCTTTTATAAATAGGGGCATAAATTTTCAGGATGAAAATATAATTTTGCCTCTTTATAAATCGCTGGTGTGGTGAAACCGACCTCGCCACTGGGCATTGCAGAAGACTGCCAGCCTCCTGCCATGTGACTATGGCCCCTGGGATGTATTGCCCTTTAAAGACGTGATTTGGGCATAATGGATTTGTGTTGTGCTGCTGCTGGCCCTTTAAGAACCATCTGGGGACATACTGTGCAGTTACTGGGTGGCCACCATTTCATGTATCAGAGGCACATGGTGAGAACAATGGATGGCGGTCATTTTAACTCACAGACACTGTTTGGACTTTTCTACACGGTGCCATCTCGCCGGTATTTGGTGCACAAAGAAATCGTGCAGTAGTTTTAAACTATACAATAGGGGACACATTATACAGTAATTATTTTTCATATAGCCTGTATATGTTCTATGAAATCTGCTTTAAACCGTATCTTCCAAACTACTGAACGGATCTGGGTGAATTTTGGATATGTGGTTCACTTTTATGGGGTTATTGCATGTTTTGGGCTTCCTGTGATGTTTTATAATACTGGATTGCTCTGCCTGTGATAATTATATTAACCATTGTGTTCAGTAATCATATCACAGGCAGAAGGGAGGATTTTGTGTGGGAGTGTCTGTGTGTATTGTACGGATTGATTGGTTGTATTTCAAAACCCTGTGGGCAGTACTATGTTTGTGGATTGTGAATAAAAGATGCTGTATGTGCCAGTACAAGCAGTTCTCCTTGACCTCAAAACTAAGTGTTGTCTCGTTATTGGGGGAATTGTATGCGGATTGCCAGGAGTGTAAGCTGATTGTATGCTTTTCCTGTTCAGCTGCTTACAGCATTCATATGCTTGAGAGCATTCGTATTCTTCTCCGGTTCGGTGGTTGTGGTGTCTGCTGCAGTGCTTGGAGTCCTCAGGAAGCGCTAGGAGCATCCTTCAACAGAGGTACCCAGTCGGGGTGCCAGGTGATCCGGTACAACTGGTAAGACCACACCTTGAATATGCTGTGCAATTTTGGGCACCTGTTCTAAAGAAGGATATCATGGCACTAGAAAAAGTGCAGAGACGAGCTACAGCAGGGGTTCTCAACGTTAGTCCTCAGGACCCCCTACCAGTCCAGGGATTACCTGGGTGTGTCTAAGGTGTTTAGAAAAAGAAGGAAAAAAAAAACCTTAGAGTCTAAGGTGTTTTTTTCCCTTTTTCTAAACACCTGAGACACACCCAGGTAATCCCCAAATCCTGGACTGGTAGGGGGTCCTGAGGACTGGGTTGAGAACCCCTGAGCTACAGCATTGATAAAAGGAATGGAGCATTTTAGTTACGAAGAAAGGTTAAAAAATTTAAAATCTCTTTAGTTTGGAAAAACGGCGCCTGACAGGGGATATGATAACATTATACAAATATATTCGGAGCTAGTACAAACCTTTATCAGGAAAACTACTCATAAACAGGGCTATACATAGGACACAAGGTCACACATTTAGGCTGGAAGAAAGGAGATTTCATCTAAGGCAAAGATATCTGACTACCATTTTGGGGTCAAGGAGGAATTTATTCCTAGTTTGTCACAAAATTGGAATTTTGACAAGGTTAAGACTGGGTTTTTTGCCTTCTTTTGGATCAACAGCAAAGACATATGTGAGGAAGGCTGAACTTGATGGACGTAAGTCTCTTTTCTTATAACTATGTAACATTCCTGTTAATTGATACCGGAACAAATTGATTTACCTGTGCGCTTTCCACAGATTTTATTCAGGCGAATTGTCATAAAGAAATGTTTGTGTCACTGAATAGCAGACTAGAATGCCACGAGTGCCCGCAGTGTGTGTAGACTAGAATGCCACAAGTGCCCGCAGTGTGTGTAGATTAGAATGCCACGAGTGCCCGCAGTGTGAGTAATCTGGATACTGGAGGAGAATGGTGAGGTTTGCAGACCATTTTTTGTGGATCTTCTCTCCTCCAAGCCCCTGTCCTCATTTCTACCCCAACAACCTATTGATTCCTAATGGAAACCTATGCACCACGTGCAACCAAGAAGAGGACTCTGTAAGGAAGTAAACAGTCTATTAAGTAATAAGATTAATATCCAGTCTCCAGCGTCTGCTTAGAAATAGTGTCCTATTCCATCCATCTACCACCAAGCAATCGCAGCGCCAATTAAGTATACCCAACGGGACTGGCACCTTGCTATTAACTCAACGGGACTGGCAATTTGGGATCAGTTTCCTATCATGTTCCACATTAGTGAATGGGGTGAAGAGTTTCACTGCCCCAGCCTTGTCACAATGATGATGAAAGTGCCAAAGTTTCTGGTCACAAGCCGCAGAGATACTCCTGCAGATATCCTGGCTCCACAAGGCTGTCATGCAATGGCTGCTCAGTATGAAAGTCTCTCTGGCGGCCTCTCCTCTCTCCTCTTTGTGGGATGGGGAGCTCAGAATGGTGCGCCGGCAGAGGCTCTATAAAGAAGTATGGATGTAGCAGAGCCTAAAGGAGAGATGGGATATTAGAAGAGGAGTCATAGTGGATACTTAGTGGCTACTGTTATATGAACCAAGTAACAGGAAATATTCAATGACCAAGGAGCATACTGTAAGTGTACCCAGTAGTAATCAAGGATAAGCTAGCATCTTTGCTTTGAGTTTGTTCAACTATAAATGCTTTAGATTTCATTATGTGAATGCAGTTTATACCACGTTTAAGGTACAGAAAGGGTTTAACTTTATACCATATTTTACACAGAACTCGTTAATTACTACACACACATATATATATATATATATATATATATATATATATATATATATATATATATATATATACACACACACACACACACACACACACACACTCCTGTACATTGTGAGAGGATGGACACGCAGGGTTAAAGAGCCGAGCCCGGTGCAGTATAACCTGTAGGCTGTGAGAGGTGGGACACACAGGGTTAAAGAGCAGAGTCCAGTGCAGTATAACCTGTAGGCTGTGAGAGGTGGGACACACAGGGTTAAAGAGCAGAGCCCGGTGCAGTATAACCTGTACTCTGTGACAGGTGGGACACGCAGGGTTAAAGAGCAGAGCCCGGTGCAGTATAACCTGTACTCTGTGAGAGGTGGGACACGTAGGGTTAAAGAGCAGAGCCCGGTGCAGTATAACCTGTAGGCTGTGAAAGGTGGGACACACAGGGTTAAAGAGCAGAGCCCGGTGCAGTATAACCTGTACTCTGTGAGAGGTGGGACACACAGGGTTAAAGATCAGAGCCCGGTGCAGTATAACCTGTAGGCTGTGAGAGGTGGGAGACGCAGGGTTAAAGAGCAGAGCCTGGTGCAGTATAACCTGTACTCTGTGAGAGGTGGGACACGCAGGGTTAAAGAGCAGAGCCCGGTGCAGTATAACCTGTACTCTGTGAGAGGTGCGGGGTGAAGCGAAACCCGGTACCGTACCAACCTGTAGGCTGCTTGAGAGGTGGAACACTGAGGTTAAAGAAGCAGAAACCCGATACGAAGTACTACTTAACCACCAGCAGGCTGTAGAGAGGTGAGACACTACAGGGTTAAAGCAGAGCCGGTGCAGTATAACACAGCCTTACTTTCGCGCGAGAGAAGGTAGGACCGCAGGAATTTAAAGCCGGTACAGCGAAGTACCGCCAGGCTGTAAAGAGGTAGGACCGCCCAGGGTTAAAACGAAACACGATACAGTATAACCTGTAGGCTGAGAGAGGTGGGACACACAGGGTTAAAGAGCAGAGCCCGGTGCAGTATAACCTGTAGGCTGTGAGAGGTGGGACACGCAGGGTTAAAGAGCAGAGCCTGGTGCAGTATAACCTGTACTCTG